CACAGGGAAATAATCTGCTCAAAAATCATCCAAATCACTAATTTTACACAAACTTCCTGCAGTTATTGTGTTCACTATTATGGTTCATTGTACAGTTTATCAGTTGTTCCCTACAGTAATGTCTATTGTTATGCACTAACTATGCATACTATCCATACAATATCTCGGTCAGTGGTCGTCTGTTTACTCATTGATAGAAAAGGGGTCCCTTAAGGAAAAATGTTGGTAACCACTGATCTACAACCTCTATACAAACGACTTTAACTGAAGACAGTTTATTTCCTTGACTCCCAGGAACCCAGTAACAAGCGGGTGCGACCCCTGGCCAAAGTTTCATCCCTCGTCAGCTTGATATCTCCTTCAAAGAATGGAGCAGTTCGGCGCTTTGGCCAGACCATTCAGGTAAGCGTCATACTCTTGTCAGACTCACTCTACAAATTTACCCGGTAGAAATTCAAATGAGTAGAAATTGTGTTTGACTTCTTCTTTTTCTTCTTCTTCTTAGTCAATGTCATTACGTGGTGATAGTAAGTCACCAGGGATGTCCCTCAAAGCAAGCAGCAGAACTGCAGGTCCCACTCCCACTAAACGCAGAAACAGCACGCTGTGGTCGGAGACGTTGGACGTCCATCAGAAGAGCACATTCTCCACCAAAGAGATCAAGAGACAAGAGGTTCTGCAGTTTCAGCCTTTTTACAGTCCAGAGCGCGGCCATCTTAGAAGAATAGAAGCAGAAATATTAACTCTGGTTTCTCTTGTGTTTCTTCTCCAGGCAATTCATGAGCTTTACAGGGGAGAGCAGGATCTCATCGAGGATCTCCAACTTGCACGAAAGGTTTGAACATTGTTCTTTATTAAGAAATCAAAACATCTATTGTTTACATATTGCCTTTGTGCTCACACTGTTGCTTTTTCATACGTTTAGGCATACCACGATCCGATGCTGAAACTCTCCATTATAACAGAGGAGGAACTAGCTCACATTTTTGGGGATCTGGATGCATACATTCCCCTACATGAGGGTAAGTTAGCTCTAACCATTCTCGGACTGAACTGCATTAATCGATTACTTTACTTGCTAACAAGTGTTTCTGACCGTGTGTGTGTTTTTCTATCTACAGACTTATTGATGAAACTGACAGAGGGAACTGGCCCCGATGGAACAGTAGCTCAGATTGGACAGATCGTTATAGACTGGGTACGTATTGTATTGTATTGTATTGTATTGTTGTACTTACATATGTCTTTTTACGTATACTGTATGTTGATTTTTACCTTACTCCCATTATCTGAAAATATAATCAATCTCAGCATGTAAAAAGATTGTAATTGTTGTATTTTCTCAGCTGCCTGGTCTGAACGCTTACAAAAACTACTGCAGCAATCAACTTGCAGCCAAAGCCCTGCTGGACCAGAAAAAGCAGGACAGGCGGGTGCAGGACTTCCTGCAGCGCTGCCTGGAGTCGCCCTTCAGCAGGAAGCTGGACCTCTGGAGCTTCCTGGATATCCCACGGTCACGCCTGGTGAAATACCCACTGCTGCTGCGAGAGATCCTCAGACACACTCCTCCTGATCACCCAGACGTAGCCAGTCTGGAGAGAGCTGTAAGTTATCCACATTACTTACTTTTGCAATCTCAGACAGTGTTGTAGCTTTTATTACGAGGTTTTTATTAAGAATATTTTTATTCAATTTTAAACAAATAAAATATTCAGATGTTTGTAGTGTACAACAGATTTACAAAAAAATTATAAACCTATTATGTTTATACATTACACACAAATATGTAGACTGTGCAAAAGATTGCAACAATTTTACAGACATATATGTTAAAGAAGCACATCATACAATGTCCAAAATTAACGAAAAGTCAATAAAATAAGGGGGTTTAGAAATTAAACATATACAGGCTGTACTACTACAGACTGTAGAAAATCAACAGAAAGATAAAATTCAAGAAGAGAGTATTTTTAGAGAAGTTAGTATTTTTCCAGGGAATATCCAGAACATGTGGGAAGCTGTAGCTGTTGAATCTGATAAATAACACCGCTTTTATTCCACTGATTATTTAATCTTGTGTATTTTGTCAAACAGCACAACTCATAAGTCTTTCTTTAATTATCCAGATCACTATAATCCAGGAGATTCTGTCTGATATCAACATGAGAAAAGGGGAGTCTGAGTGCCAGTATTACATAGACAAACTGGAGTATCTGGACGATAAGCAGCGGGACCCTCTCATAGACAACTGTAAGACCCTACTTTGTCACGGAGAGCTGCGGAACAAGAGTGGTTCGGTAAGAATTAGTCTCATTATTACCTTCCACATGCAATAAGTTCATTATCTGCATGCTGTCTTGTATTGAAATAAGTTTAATTCTTTACTAACTGTGTTACTTCACAGAGGCTGCATGTGTTCCTCTTCTCCGAACTCTTGGTTCTGACCCGACCGGTGACCCGGAACGACAGGAGCTGCTTCCAGGTGTATCGACAGCCCATCCCAGTTCAGGACTTGGCTCTAGAGGACCTGCTGGATGGAGAGATCCGCATGGGGGGGTCTTTCAGAGGGGCTTTCACCAATGGAGAGAAAGGTGGGTTGGGTTGGGTTGCAGTTCACCTGCTGGCAGACGGTCTGCAGTGGCTCATTTGTGAGGAGGTGTTTGATTGTTTTATTTATCAGGCTGAGATGTCTGATTTCATCTTCTCATATGTGGAGATTTGTTGCTTTTCTCTCTTTTATATAATTTATATTTGGCTCTGGGTTTGACTTTTTAGAGAATAAAGGATTAATAAAAACATTATTCCCAGATTATTCTTTAAAGGTCCACATTAAGTGTGTTTAATCATTTATGAGTTATACAGTGACGTAGTGATCAGAAAGGTAAACAGAGAATCTTTCCTGCATAAGGAAACCTTTATGGATGCATTCATCATGGTTTCCATGGACACAGTGAACAAACAAGGCTGCACAGACTCCGTAGTAGCATACAGAGTGAGAATGTAACATACATATGCTAACAGTTGTATTTTAAAATAATTTATTTACATAATAATAATAATAATCATCTAGCTATTTGTACTCAGATGTGAAATATGGTCTAAAAAATCTACAGAAAAGAGAAAATTTGAGTCTGCAAAAGTCTCCTCGATCCTGTCCCCATATATAAATATGGTTTTAATATTGCTTGTTGTTGAAATTGTTGTCAAGGCGACCCATGTACAAAGCCCCTGATAATTTTTAGCTCCTGAATCACAGAAAGAGAATATGTACATACTCTTTACAACTAGTGTAAATGTAGTTTGTTGTAACTGTAGGTGATTAAATGTTATTTCGTCGTTCCAGATGCAGACATTCGGGTAATAGGCTTGGTAACACTTATTATATATTGTCATTTAATCCATTGCTATAATGAAAATATGAATTAGATCATCTTTAAATTAAATGCACTCTGCTGAGTTCACAATGGGGATATTTTTGTATCCTAAACTTCGCTGCCTTAGAAGATCCTGTTGACCGTACGTCTTTTCTTTCTGTGTCTCTTTTAGCTAAGAACGTTTTTCGAGTAAGCTCTCTGGATCCATCCCATGGTCAGTCCCACACCCTGCATGTCAATGATGTTTACCACAAGCAGCAGTGGCTCAACTGTCTACGCACTGCAATGGCCCAACAACAGGGGGCTCCACCCAGAGTTCAGCAGGGAGAGACTGTCAGAGCCAAGCGTCACTCCTCCTCCATCTCACCAACCGTGTATGACGAGGAGACAGACGAGAACTGCCAGCCTGTCTCTGGCCCCAAACTCAGGCCTCAGACACTCTCCAAAACCAGACTGGACCGGAAGTTACAAGGCTCACTAAAGAGGAAGGAGACTGGAGTGTAGAAGTTTAACCTGACCCAATGGTTCCTAAAAGACAGACGCATGTATGCAATATGTGTCCTCTTTGGTAACATGTCTGTCGGTGTATTTTCATACAACCACTGGTTGTTGTGCTTTTGCTTTCTTTGTAGCTGCACTGAAAAATCCTTTCCAATCATTTCCGTCCAAATGTGTATCAAATTGTAGTCTTTAAAAAGTGTAATTAGTTTACAAAAAAGGAAAAAAAAGTGACGTGACAGTGTGACTGAAATGTATGTTTACACCAGCTTGTATGTGTGTGGATGTTAAAACAACTTTATACCACTAGTAGTTCATGAAATCTAGCTTCAGCATTCATTCCAGTGTTGACACATTTAAACTTGCTTAGGTTTTTTTGCTGTAATCAAAATGTCTATATGTTAGACATCATGTGTGCAGTTGTCCGTTGTGCTATCTGTGCCAAGATAAGGGATCAAGAAACTAAGAAATTGTGATGGCCTCAGCCGTCTCTGCAGGACGCTGTTGAGTGACACGAGTCTAAAAATGTTTGAGGTTAAATGAAAGATAATGAACAGAACACGAGTAAGAACATTTACCATGGATACGATGAGGTTAAAAAAAACAAAAACATTTCTTGGGGGAAAAAAAAACTAGATGTATTCAGTGATAAGTTGTTAATAAGAAAAAAAATAAAACATTTAGTTTGTACTTGTTTGACTGCGAGATTATGTTACAACACACCAACGTCCTCAAGGGAGGTTGGACTTTGACCACTTAGTCACTTCCTTTTACTGTTGACAGAGCTGTTCAACAGTGTGTCGCAACATTTGTTAGGCAAACAGAAGCTGAGGGAAATCTTCCACTTTTCCAGTTACTGTGTTGAAAATGTATCCTTTTTAATGCAGTTTTGTGAATTTTTGTATTTCAGGATGATACAATGCTCTTAAAAGGGTCTTGATTGAGATTTACATGTCATATACTGTCTCAAAACATTAAAAACCCACTGAAAATCACTTTTAATGGTAAACTTTTTTCAGTTTAGAAGCATGTTTGATTTTTTTTATCTTCTAACTTACTATCAAATGCTGATGAGTGCTTTGTGAGACCTTGGTCTGCCCTCCAACCAAGCTTCTTTTTGGCCTCAAAGACTTTGAATATAAAATAATTTGCATTAGCATTGTTCCTGCCATGGTAGATTTACATGTAGGTAAACTAGATAATATTTTGCTGTTATGCTTGTATTTGCCTGGTGTGTGTTTCACTGTAAAGCTGATTATAATCCATGTTTGTGAATCTGAGTGAAACTCTAGCGCACTGGATACGAAACAGATATATACTTTACTATACTCAACTTGTATTACTAAACGTGACATGTTTATGCAGAAAAAAATACAGCAATAATGTCTAAAAAATTCCTACAGACAACAAAATGGCAGCAGAGTTTCATTAGGAAATAAGAGGACCTGAGGAATCAAAAATGAAACTGCATAAAGAGGAAGTATCATTTAAAATGAATTCTCTCCTGGACTGGGACAGATGTCAGTCATAATGACTTCCTCCTGCATGAATAGCTAAGTGTAAATACATGGGCTGGCTTATCATATGGGCTGACAAGATCATAAAGTAAAAACCAACATGTCCACGGCAACCTGTGCCATTTGATGTCCTACCACAACTACAGCTGCAAGCCAAATCACTTACCCATTTTATTACAGGGGCCTCTCGTGCAGTGTAAGCCGTTGAACCTGCAGTATTTATAGTTGATGGTGAACCACTAACACCAGCAGCTTCTCAACAACCTTGCTGAAACCAGCTTCCTAACAACAAATTTTTATGCTTAAGTGGGAAACTGTTGGGTGTCTGTCTCCTCTGTCTCATTCACCATCGCCCCTGATTATTCTTTGTAGTAAAAAGCAGCTCAACGGTTCCCCAAGGAAAAACATCTCTTAGTATCCTGATGCCCTGCAAACTTAACACCTGCTCTCCCTGGAGCTGATCAGTGCAGACAGCTGACAGGGCCGCTGTTGTTCTGGTAATGATCAAATGACATCGACCTTCAGAGAATGTGGCCGTTTTCATTTTCACCAATTAATCCCTCACCTTTAACCATCTTTATCACTTACACATCAATTAATTAGTCTCAAATGAAATCACTTCTATTTTCTATTTCCCTTTTTTGGTCTGACACTATCTTTTAAAACCATAAGAAATATACATATAAATGGACCAGGTATAGAAATCAGGAACGATATCTTGGCGTGTTTGTAATGTGTGGATTCAGATGACGGTGACAATAAGTACATTTTATGAACTTTATACCAATTCAAGAAAATGTTACCTCTAAGACTCAATTTGACTCATCTTTTTGTGGCTTCTTTCCATAATCTCGTGCCACATTGCTTTAAAAATATCGTTCTAGTTTACTGTTTACTGTCCACTGTCCTGTTTACTACTATTTGGTTAGCTTTAGAGTTAGTCTGCACAAGTCCTGGCATTGTTTCTGCTGTTGTATGTCCTGTTCTACCAGTTAGCTACGGGATGTTATCAAGAGTATTTTTTGATCATTTGTGCTGTATAAATAAATATAAAACCTTACTTCACAATAAAGTAATCATTGTGTTCCTAGGAACTGTTGTAACACGTTGTTGTAGTTAGTCCGGTTAAACAGGAATTAGCGCCTAGTAACGGCTAGCAGCTGCGGTGTTAGACGAGCTCTCAAAATACTGGAGAAACGCTTACATTCTTACAATAGAAAGAAAAAGAAATATACTTGAATCATCCTGTGAAATCCCCACCAGAAGTTATTAACGAGAGACTGTGAACTCCCCCAGGTTGTGCAAATAAGAAATAAAAGAGGATATGACCTGATCTTTTCTGGCCACTTCTTTTCACTCTGAGATCACATATCTGGTAAAACGTTGCTGCTGTTCATGTAATTAACATCTTTCTCAGACATTTTTCACCCAATAGCGGTTAGGCTCTGTAGCAGCAGTTCTTGTTCAGACGTGTTTTTGTAAATGGAAGCACTTATTATCTGCTCATGGGAGCGTCTCGTTGTCACTGAAGGTTGTGGCTGCACATTGCTCTCATCTAATCTTCAGGTTTGTCTCTAACTGAACATCATATCTCTGCTCTTGGTGTCAGCCCTGTGACAATCTTGATAATGACAGTAGTGATTAGAAAGTTGAAAATACTCTGTTGCACAACAGTGCCTCTCTTCTGCAGAGCAAACCAAGTTAAACCAAACAACAAAAATATATATTCCAGCGCACTCCAGGATACTAGGGTTGACACTGTTTTAATATATTAAAAACAAAATTAAAAAGAAGCAAACTAAGGGTTTTGCATGTTGCTTCGTCAGATTCACAATGTCAGATGTCCTGTTGTTTATTAACCAGGTTTCTGGCGAGGTCTCAATAACTGTAAAGTGTTCAACCGCTGTTATCCCCAAGAACATTACAGCAGTAATTGGACTTGTATAGTTTACTGACAATAATTCCTAAGTCTGTTTCTCTGAAATCAATCATATCTGTGATATACATGAGTTCCTCCACTGTCATGCATATTTTGATGAATAATTTCCTTTTGACACGTTGACCTTAGTTTGAGGCCTATTGAGCATTGCAAGCTGGTTAAACTTCCAAACTACAAATAAAGTATTTTTATGTACTTTTTTTCCATATTATTTTAAATATATGGGGTGTATTTTTCCTAATGTTCAAGGGCAGTGTCCATTAACTTACATGCGTAAATTAGCAGTCTCTTGAAACTTGCTCAAGTCTAATCCAGCACAATGAGTCTGCAATAAGTTTTGACAATGTTACATTATCACGGGTGGTAATGCAATCATTTTCATGCAGATTGGTTTAATTGAATTACCTCTTAATGTACTTTTGACCCTGTGAAGCAACAGTTTCCTGAAAGAAACATGAATTTTGATAATTGAAGATCGGTGACAATCGAAGACACACTGAAGAATTGTTTTTAAAAAGAGTCCGGTAGTGGTCTATTTATTTACATAAAATGAATAGAGGTAGAACCATTTGTATTATTTACAAATTTACATTAAAAATAAATAGTTACAGAATATATACAAACACAAACAGTGATATTATCCTAGTAATCAAACTACTTCATGTTCCCTCTGGGTTCAATAAGGTAGTACAGCATCTATGATAAAATCACACTTACATTCACATTTATTTGGTCATGACAAGCAAGCCAAGTTCATATTTATATATTTCAATCTCCATTAAGTAATACTTTTACAAGTTACCACTGACTCAAATGTTTCCAAGTTATGTGACATGGTCAGTAGTGTTGCCCAACCCTCTGGGGATTCTTTGTTAAGGCCCTACACACCCACACAGGGCGTGTAGTGCTCAGGCTGATGTGATCTCTGCTCGGGTTGCAGGTGGGCTGAGCTATGCGGGAAGTTATGTGAGGTAATCTAAATCCCTGTAGTAATACTGCTGTAACAAGTTCAAAAAGCTAACAGAAGACCTGTGCTTGATCGACAGTCTGTACGTGCCCACTCAGTCCTGAAAGCAGGTCTGATCAGACAAAATAATTACACCTGTGTAAGTTTACCATGGGTGTGCATGGCCTTTAATACCTTTAATACTTATTATTTTGGCCTTCACATAAACTGTATGCTTGAGTCTCACCTCTCTTAACCTCCATGAGCAGCCTTGTTTCTCACAAACAAGTTAAAGACAAAAAGGAAAATCCAGCTGTGCACTACCTGCAGACCATGAAGCAGCAGAGCTGATGTACCAAACTAGTAAATGCAATTTATCCCATTTTAATTTGGTTGGGTAAAGAGTCTATTTAAAAAGTACCAGTGTGTAACATTAAGGAGGTTCTATTAGCAGAAAAGGAATAAAATATTCATGTATGTTTTGTTAATTTAGAATGAGTTGTTTTTATCTACAGAGGGACCAGAGGGTCCTCTTCTACAGAGGACACCATTTTAAACCGCCACGTTTCTACAGTAGCCCAGAACAGACAAACCAAAAGCTGTCTCTAGATAGGGCATTTCGCATGTTTCACTGCCACCATAATTTCTCCTTCACACTTAGATGATGAGCAGTATTCAGTTGGTTGCGATCGGCAACTTCACTGCTAGACGCCACTAAATCCTACTCACTGGTTTCTTGAAGTTATGAAATCTCTGTGCAGCCTATTACTCTGGCATTGTTAAGCCATTACATCTGTGCTGCATTTCTGCCAACTTCAACATCCTGTCATGTGAGCACACCAGCAGAGAGCAAGCAGACATCACTGGTCTAGAATTAGACTTCTAAGAGCTGCATCTTCAGTTTCCCATAGGTGATTAAATTTCAATAACTGGAGGTGGCGTGTAAAAAAGAAAACTTATAATGCGTTTGGGCAAGCCTAGCTGGGACACAACTTCATGTGCTCTCATGCCGAGAGCCCCTCTCAGAGCGACTCTGCTGATCTGCTGTAGATTGAGGGGGGTATCTAAGGAAGAGAAAACAACAGAGGTGACATTTTATCTGTGCTTGTGGCTGCTCTATATATACTGCCAGTGACACGACACACACTTTAAATAAACAAACTTACTCTCATAGAACTCAAGGCAGAGATAAGAGGGAGATCCAAGACTGGTGTAGTGGATGGGTTTCTTGTTCAGGTTATCTCTTGAGTACACGTTCCCCCCAAACTCCACCAGTAGCTCAATCAAGCCAACATTTTTTGTTTTGGCTGCATGATGAAGTGCTGTCTCATGTAGCTTGGCAGCATTTACATTTGCCCCTTAAGGAAAGACATACAAAACTGTAAGAGAGCAAAATACTTCTCTTGTCTGCAGCATTTGGAAAGGAAGGATAATCATTAGCAGTAAGCATGGAAACGAACCAGCAGTTAGCTGCTAAATAGATAGGCACAAACGTTTGCAGTTCCGTAGCTGTAAGATAAGTCAGTGTAATGTAACACTAGTAACACTTGGCGTCAATTGTTAACTCCATAGTCACAGCATTAAAAACATTTTTCGGGTCTTGGTAAAGTAAAAGCACAAAGACAGCTTCCTCTGTGTAACTGTCTAACTCCATAAACAGGTTTTGACCCAAAATATTGTGATAATTGATTTTACCCAGCTCTGGTGTGCAGAAGACATGAACAGAAAACATGAACTCACCTGCATTGAGGAGAACTTTGGCGCAGTCATAATGCTGCCTTGCGCAGGCTACATGAAGCGGTGTCCCATAGTGGCAATCATGGGCCTCCATGAAAGCTCCTTGATCAATCATGAGCTGAACACAATCTGAGTTACCTATTGTGGAGGGCAAAATAACGTCGATTTAGATAATACTTTAATAAAACAGAATGCTCTTAGCACAGCTGAGAAATAAATACCAAGAGGCAGGAGTCACATAACAGTAAAACTGAGAACTTATTAGAGATCCTCAACCCCAGATTGTGTCTTTTTAGTATCCAACACTCACATCCTGTGGGCTTTAGAGGAGGCTGTAAAATGTGTGTACCTTCACCCCTCAGAGAGTACAGAAGCTGTTGTGCAGCTTGAATAGATTTTGGCTGGAGTTTCACTTTACAGCTTTCCCCTCACCAATCAGTGCTGTTTTTCAAATCAATACTGCAATTCTTGATATATTCCAGTGTTAGCGAGCATAGCCGGTAGACTTGTGTCCCATAGTCTAACTAGTAATGGTATAATTAGGTTTTTGTGTTATATCATGACAGAGTTTTATGTAATAAATAAATAATAATAATAATAAAAGAGCTCAGTAGTCAACAGTTCTGCTCTCCCTCCCTTTTTTGTCTTCCAAGAACTCAGAACGCAGAATGTTATCTCAGCCCTATTTAAGAAAATTACTGAGGAACTTGGTGTACTTGAGGCCGGCCGTGATGACTCAATCCTTCACTGTTTCTCAGAAAGATAACTCTCCTCCTACATTCACACAAAATGCTGTGTCACTGCAAGACTGATGAACCAAAGACATCTTTATGTACAGCTACAAAGCTCAAAATACATTCCCGTATGATGTCTGTAACGCACCTCCCATGCAAGCCTCGTGTAGAGGTGAGAAGGTAAACAGCGGAGGATTAACTGTTGCTCCATACTCCAGCAGCAGCTTCACACATTCCAGGCTACCGGCGGCGCAGGCGTCACACAGCGGCGTGCTGCCGTCTATGTTACGAGCATCCACCTGGAGGACACGGAGCCACAGTCAGTCGTGAACCGATCAAGAAAACCCATCAACTTAAATCTCCTGTGAAGAAATCTCACCTGCGCACCAGCGTTCAGCAGCAGTCTGACACACTGGGTCTGCCCCTGGATACATGCCTCATGAAGGGGGGTGATGGAGTCGACTGCCACGATGTTAACTGCGGCCCCTGCCTCGATCAACTTCTGCAGCTATAGGGCCCTGCCCTGTGCGGCGGCCTCGTGCACTGCTGACCGGTCGGTCCAGAATCCAAGACCATGAGCTGCAAATACGTGAAGCCAAACAAGACTGAGCCTCTCTATTCTGGTTACGTTTCCTGGGTGTTGACTTACGATAAACAACAATCTGTCTTCAAGTTTATTTAGTCGTTCTTTCAATACAAACATGCTGACAGGCTGAAATGTTGTTTGTTTAGCTGCAACCACAAAGTTGGGGGGGGAAAGAACCACAGAGAGCGGTGTATAAACTAAGGCTGCACAATTATTCAAAATATTATCCAAATCGAAATATGGCCAAGTGCAAACTTCAAATTGCAGAAGCTGTGGTAAAATGTGTGACAAACATTAGTAGCAGTGTTGCAGAGATGCTCCAGTGAAAATAAAAACTGTGATGCAAAAGTTATGAAAAACAATCATACAAGTGCAATATCTGATTATATATTATCGCAAGATTATGTTTTTACCATCTCGTGCAGCCCTGGTACAGACTGCTGTAAAGTCTGACACAATCATCTACATGAAGTGGCACAATATGGACAGTATGATCCACCACACTAACACTACTGTACTGGATTGTAAGGTGTGTTGTTATATGTGTTAACCAGCACATTCACACAGTTGTTTAACAGTATATATATATATCTTTAAGTATGTCACATTTCCTGTTACAGAGTAGGTCTAGGTTTAGTGCCCCTTCAGTGGTTTGAAGAACCAGTCGCACAACCTGCACTACAGTCTGCTGTCCTCTCTAACGAGCTTACAGTCTGCTCTCAAAACTGGCGTCAGCCTCTTTAAGAGAGCCTGCTAGCTAACGTTGACCTAGCTCAGTGGCTATACGTCTGACAGACACTGAAAGCTAGTCACCTTGAGATGAAAGGTAATGAAAGCTAATCATTCTAACTACCGGACACATCCGATCCCTCGCGTCGCTAACTCGGTTTTTATCTGAAGTTGTCTTGCTGCTCATCGACTCTAAGCTACTTACCGATTTCTCCATACAAGGACGGTCTGGTCCGAGTGATCTCCATCTCATGTTACCGTCTTCTCCCGCGCACACTCCTTCACATTCAGCCGAACATGTACTTGTTTTTGAATCGAGGCAGTGAAGGCTGAGAGAGATGCATTATACTGTGATAACACAGCGCCGAGTGCTCGGTGGGAGCCGCCGCGGTTCAGTCCAAATAAACAATGGCTTGGCATGCTGGGATATGTAGGCGGCTGACCTACAAACCAGGAGGCCGGTAAAAATAGCAGCTGCTACAAACCGGGTGATAGATTTGTGCTGATATTATTATTTAGCAAGGCTTTGGAAATAAAACGAGTTACTATTTGCTTACGTGCCTGTTTCTTGTGGTTCCCAGGGTGACTGGAGATGGACCTCAGGCTAGCTGGTGTTAGCTAACACAGTCATTAAAGGGCTCCTCCACTCAGAAAGATGGTTTTCTTCTTGTGTATGTGCAGAGGTGGACACCTGTGGGATGTTTCACTTTCATTTACTGAAAGATGAAACTCATTAGAAATCAGATTTTAAAGGGCGGGGCCTACCAGCATGATTTGTGACATCATTAATAGTTTTGGCCCAGTGCACATAAACTGAGAATGGACTTTATAATGGAGGAGGAGACGTCCTGTGTCCGGCAGGAAAACTCTACATATTCGTAGATCCTGCAGCTTTTAATGAGGTCGAAGGAGTAGAAGCCCTTTAAAGGATTTTAATATGGAAATTATACTTTTTTTTTTTTTTTACTATATGTCTTAATACATGTCTGGAGGAGATCTTTAGCAATAGGGCTTTTTTTTACGCTAACGAGTTCACCCATTAAAAGAAAGCTGCATGGATAATGAGTGTTTTTCATGTTTTTAAACGCTATGGCTAGCTAGCATTACACTTGTATAGATTTAGATTGGCTGTGGTTCAAACATTTGCATTTCAACAGCGGCGTATTACGCGTTCATTTTCAAATTGGGGAAGTGTCACAATATTTTGTGACCATGATTAGATAAAGGTGAATAGGAGTTGCCAGGTTTACAGTGAATAAAACCTTTAGGCTAACATTGCGGGAGTTGTGTGTGTGTGTGTGTGTCTGTGTGTGTGTGCAGTGAACTGACATGGCTGTGTCGTGTTGTAGTGAAGCCAGTGTCTTCCTGAACTCCTTCCTGTGGTGTATTGATAACACATCTGTCGTATCTGATAAAAGCACAGCAGGTTCAAATTCCTTGTAGCTTAAAGATGCACTCTTGGATAATGTTAATAGGAACAGTTCTATGCCATATGAACCGCTAAACCAGTTTAAATTAACGTATGGTATGAACATTTCATATACTGCCATACCGGGGCATAGCTGAAACAATTGCTCCTTATAAAAAAAAGAATCTGATCTGTTTTTCTGAATTAACGAGGTACCACCGGCACAGTCTCCATGGCCGGCTCTCAGCCTCCAACGACCTCCAGCAGGCCCATGCAGGGCTCTGTCTTGCCTATCCTTCACCCCTGATACTCTGCTGGAGAACCAGAGGGAGGCAGGAACACGTGGTCTGTTCCCACAGCTGAGGGCCCCTTCTCGGAAAAACAGCTGAGAGCAGTGGGCTCATGAGGCCTAATGTTACTCTACACTCCCCTATAGTGAAGTGTATGGATTTACAGACTGGAGTCTCTGTTAGTGACAGACAGATATAGATCCTCATTATATATGCTTGTTTCTGCTATGAAACGTCGCTATGATGGTGTGGGTCACGTCTCCCACGTTCAGGCGCACCCCCAACGGTGAGCCAGCGTCTTACAGCCTTCTTTCACTCGTCTATATTCATACTGTCCAATGGTGTTTACTCGCCTATAGACCAATAGGCAATCGCCAGTGGGTAGCGGGAGTAGGAAGGAGGTGGGAGAAGTTACGTCACAGCACACCATTGAAATGCCAAGAGGGAAAAGACTTTTGTCTTAGGATTTAATGCTTGTGGGGGCGGCACCTGAACGGGCACCAGAACCCAGGGCAAGAGGGCAATGGAAGACAGAGGCCAGGGAACAGGACAGGGAATACAATACCAATACCGAGGTGATAAACAGACAAAACTCGTCCTCTCGGTAGTCAGAAGCTCTTGTGCTAGCAGTGTTACACCAACACGCCGCTGTTGCACCGGGCTCCTGGTCTGGGCAGAGTCAGCTAGCTAACTGCACTGCTAACTGAGCTAAAAGTTAGTGATTACTTTAGCGACAAGTAAAGACAACAGCTAAAACTTGAAGAGTATTCCTGCGCAGAGTGGTTGATCAAAAGAACCATTTTTAGTGGGTGTGTCATTCGTAACATGAGGCTTACTGGATTTAAATCTAATTCTTGATAATAAAAAAAAACTAATTTAACTTTGAAACTACTTTCAATCGGAAATCCTGAATATGTAGCAATGTTTCTCAAGTGGGGGTTTGCTTACCCCTAGGGGTACTTTGGAGTACTGCGAGGGGTGTGCGTGATCATTACAAAAAATATCAGTCATGCATTAATACTTAAAATGATTATATGTTAAATAAAAAATCTAAAGTTTGATAAACCACAACTTATATTCAATATTTCTATTTTCAATGCCATAAACTGTCAAATGAAGTAAAACCTCACAAAACACCAGCCCATGTTTCTCAGTAAGTAAGACACACGACTCAGCCACAATAAACATTTCATATCACTCACAAATATAAGTGTCAAGTCAACATAAACAATTGTTTAAAGAACCGGTGTGTAGGATTTAGTGACATCTAGTGGTAACCCTGTAGATTACAACTAACTGAACGCCACTCGCATCTGTATCTGACAGTATCTGGGGAATGAAAACATGTAAGAGAAACTTTGAATCTCACGAAAAGGCCCTGTCTACAGCCACTGATGGGTTTGTCCCTTCTGGGCTACTGTAGAAACATGGCTGCTCAACATGGTGGCAACCCACTGCCTATGTAGATTAAATAAATTAATTATAAAGGCAACAAAAAAATGACTATTATTATTATATATATTATATTTAATTAAGATTTAAAGGATCATTAACCTCACACCAGGTTAATAATCACTTTGTATGATTACTAATAACTACCTTAAAACACATTACCAGCAACAACTGAATCTTTAAGCTTTAACCTTAGGTTTTGTTGCTGCCTCACTGTGACAATAAAAGTTCTTCAGTTCATTCATGTGGGTATAATATAGTAAATATGTGGTAGCACTGCTCCTAACTTCCCTTCCCCTCACAAGCCTCCAGTTACACTCAAACTACACCACTACTCCTCTGAATAGTATCAATCCACATTATACACCCCTCCGAGAGGCTGCATCGTGGACAACAAGAAGGGTTTATAAAACACAGCGTTGGTTTTATTTTTATTTTATTTTATTTTGCCCGGTTGCTTACAGTTAGCAATCATTAATATTTCACTGGAAGCAGGAAATAGAAGTGAACCGCAGGCGCAAACAAGCCTCTGAGCTCGACTGCCTCACCACCGCCACAGTTTGGTGTAGACTTTCAAAATGGATGCTTTCCCCTCGATAGGTTTCTGTTTCTTTTTCACACCGGACTGTACATGCGTGGGTCAACGCGGCGTGGAGGACTGACTACATATCATAATTAAACGAATGTATCACCCTTGAAACGATAAAAGTGGATCCCGGTGGATGTTTTTTTTGAGGGGGGGTTTGTTTCCTACGCGTTTGCTACCAGCCAGTTATTTTTTAACTTCCTGGTTGTCGCATGAATATGTCTGTTGAAACTGCGGCGAAAGCTCAAGTTACTTGTAAATGCTCGTCGGACACGGGATACATGAGACTTTATAATTCAGTTGTGATGTTTAAAACCAGAGACGGCTGTTTTCAACGAAGGGCAAAAGGAGAACGACAGATTTCGTAAGAGTCCAGCAATGGAAAGTGCAAATGGTGGTGTCTCGAGTAAAGGTGATTATCTCTCTTTCTCCCCCACCACCACCAACACATCCTGCTTGTCTCATGTAACTTTCGCTTTTAAGATTTAAACCAGAAAGCGTGGCTTTATCGCCCACCATAGTTCAAGTATTAAGACTGTAGTGGTCTGAACCGAGCTGCTGCTTGTGTGGTTGGACTGGAAAGGACGCGTGGATTAGGTGTCGTCTCTCAGTACAGAGGGGGAATAACTCGGAAAACTTTTTTTTTCTAAAGACGCAGTTTGTAATGTGATTTCGCCAGATTTTCTGCTGTGTTGTGCTCATGTTTGTGTTTTTGTCCACTTTTTAGGTGTTTTAGCACAAGTGTCAGCCAGTTCTGAGGACTTTAAAAACAATGTGTTGGCTCCACTGAAAAGTGCGTATTTGTACGAGGAGTCCAAGCAGTCCTTCAGATATAAATCCGCTGTCCTAATAAAGAACCCGGCGCTGGAAAAAAAGGTCAGTCTAAATCATATTTGGGCCCACCATTTAGATGTCATTAAGGCCACATTTTAATGGTTAAACTCAAGTTAGTTCACATTTAATCAATAACAGCACATAGGATGATATCATTAGAAATATTTTGTGCTCCCTTTCTTTTGAATGCTGTTATATTTTTAATCTTTAGCAGTGAATACGCACAGATTTATTTTTATATCTTTAATATTAATACCTGGGCAGAGAATAAAGCCTGTAAGTAGGAACTGCCCTTTAATGTCGTGAGAGGAACCTCAAAACCTGAAATCAAAATGACATTTTACAGCTTTCAGACCGATTTCTTCTTTTTCATTTTGTACGTCAGTATGATGCTTTCCGAGCCAAAAGAAGAGAAGAAGGATATTCAGAGGAGGATCTGAAGGAATCGTATGGGTTTTTGCTGTTTGATGATGTCAACAAGGTGAAGGCTTAAAACACAGGCACACCTAATAAAATACATGTTCGAACAAATCTTAAGATTTTGCTGATATCGATATTTGATATGTGTTTAAAGGCTAATGCACTTGGAGAAACCGGTGTGCTGGCTGGAAACAGCACGTGCACAACTCTGGGAGATCCCTCGAAAGGTAAATTATGATGATTTATGATTAACCCCCCCCTTCCCCCATACTGCTACTATGCCAACCAGTAGTTAGATCACGGTGACATTTTAGTAGTTCTGCCATGAACAAACAAGAGGTCATATTTCTGTGCAAAAAAACACCCAGTTAAGATTTTTGTTGCTGTAACATATGACTTAGATTTACTTACTGGTTACTTGATTTAAAACAAAATTAGCAAAGAATTACATAAAGCCTTTTCTCATTAATTCAAAGTATTTTGTTCCAAGTTATTACCTTGATGGTCATATCCGGGAAACACTGTCCATGCAGCCAGTCTGTCCAAAATATATGTAGTGCAGATTAAGTGAAGGAATAGTGCGACTGAGTGTCTGGTGCTTCCCTGCCTTTTGAAAGTGAAAGCAGGCTGAATATATCAATCTAACAAATGAAAGTGGAAGAATGTCTGTTGTGAAACAGAAACTGTAAGTAAAATGATTTAGACAATAAGTCCAGCACTTATTGGCTGTTTCACTGTCCACTGTAATGCTCAGTGTTTCTCATTTATCTGTTTCTTTAGAACAGTAGTATGAAACACTGAGGTAGCACATGAAAACAAGAGCTCCACTGTCACATGTAATTGAATGTAGCACTGTTGCAGGGGGAATAACCTGTGTCTGTCTTCACATCTGTGCTTGTTTTGATCTGTTTCCGTTCTTGTGCAATTGCAGAGGCTCTGTAACAGATTTCCAGAAATGCCTTCTCATAACAGAAACATTTATTATAACCACTACTACGATGGCAGTTCTTTATGGCTTACATAGACGTTCTTAAAAGCTATACTGTATTTTATACATGCATACATATACATATACGTATATATTACTTTGAGAGAACACTGCTCGTGAGGGAGTATAAAAGACACACCAAACCTGCCAAACCAGTTATTGGCTCTTTGTTTGGCCTCCTACATTCAGATTCCCAACTTTTTGTTTTCAATGCCTGAGAGAGCTTACCTGAATGTAACTCATTGTCCTATGCTCATCATATTTCAGTGCTTTTTTTATGATCTACAGCTTTGCGGATCTTGCTGTTTTTTTTTTGTTTTTTTTATTGCTTGTTGGTGTTTCAAGTACACGTTTAGCTGCAGTGGGTGAGGTCATTCAGATAGTCATTAAACGTGTGGTGTGTCCTTGACACATTCATCTGTTAAGGTGTGGCCTTGCTGCTTTAGGTGTGTCAGTTGTCTTTCAAAAGACGTATCAAAGTTATGAGGTAAACATTGTAGGTTTTTTATGATGACGTCAAGTCTTAATAAATGACCCTCCCTGTATTTATTTTGAACTGACCACGCACAAAGTGAACTTTTCTGTGTTTACTCAGGTGTTTACATATCCATGTACTCCGACTGTTTGGATCAAAATCGCTGGTATCATGGAAAATCTGGATACATTGCCATCATCAGGCTGACAAAGGTACTGACAAAAGTAGAGAAATATTTGTCTGGATCATTGTGTGTTCATTCAAAGAAAATCATCTGTAAACAAAATCATTTGTCCTTTGTTGTTGCCAACAGGGAAGAGTTAAAAGGGTTTTAGAGAACTACACACAGAATTTCACTGCGCCCACTGAGGGGTTTGACTGTCATGTGTCAGAACAGTTGCCTTCAGTATCCTCTAAAACCAGCTCCTTTCTTGCCTTTGAGAGAACCCAGGTAAGAAGAGGCATGTTACAGCACAGTTTTCCCACTCTCTACCCCACTTATATATAGAGCTACCAATGCACAGAAAATGTAGGTGCAAGTAAGTTACACTATTAACACATAGCACGCTATACTGATTTCACTGAAAGGTTACACATATCACTTGTTGTAATGCCCAGATTTTGTGGTGGGTCTGTGTCTTTTATCTGTCTCTGTGTAGATGCATCCTTTTGAGCAGAATACTGTCAATGCTTGAATACATGTTAAGAAAGAAAAAAATGGCAAATGCCTATTGTTTTGATCCTGCAGTATTACATGTATGAGCTGCCAGATGATGGAAGCAATGAGACTGCTCTATCTCCCAGTGGTGCCTGTCCTTTTGCCATTGTGCCATTTTCATACACGGATACCAAAGCAACATTTGTAGCACCACAGGAGAAAAGGTATGGTGTCATCACTACTGCCACCCAGGCCCTGCCCTGATTGGTATATGATGTATTTGAAATAAAACTATTTTAAAATGAAAATATTAAAGTCATATTGAATAACACGTAATGTTCCCTGATTTCTCTTTTTAGTGAGGAGAAAAAACTAGGTAAGTAACATGTAATTAATAGTACGAGACAAATACACGGCATTATACTAATAAAGGAGTCATTGACCTATATTTAAATGATTTATTAGCAAGAATCATATTTAATGTACTGAAAATTTACTGTTATGAATATGCCCCTCATTTTTAAGAATAATTGTTTTATTGTATTACTTTTTTCCCAGTTTGTCATTACTTTCCGTGGAGTGGTCAACTTCAAATAGGCACGCATAGCTATGATGTTGGACTGAGGTCTACTGCAGGGGCTTTGATCCCTGCAGAATTGTAAGTTAAATGTATACAATGAAATATATACTATATTCTAAAATGACTGTTAATTTTGATTATATAACCTATTTTCTGTGCTTTGTCTTATTTTAACATTTAAGGCCACCAGTGGTTAAAGTTGACAGAGCCATTTCCATGTTAGATCTGAGACAGCTGTTGCCCAGGACGGTCTTTGAAACCTGCCTCTCTGGTGAAGGTGTGCTGTTAGAAAATGTTACAAAAAACTGCTTTATTATGCAGGAGTTACATTTAATCACAATTCCTGGATTTATTGAACCTATCATTGATGAATTGGGCTTTTTTTTCTGTCTTTCAGTCTTTCTGGATGGTTTACACTGCAGTCTGTATGAGATGGTTTCTTCTGAGGCGGAAGAAACCAGCTCACTCTCTCTGCTTCTGTGGGAGATCAAGGAGAAAGATGTTGTGAGTTTTGGGTTATTATCAACTTTTCAAGGGCTTTGTCATTTACTTCTTTTAAATGTCAAAAATGACCACACCCATCACAATTAATCAGAGCCCAAAGTGGTGGTTTATTCATTGTCAGTCAGAAACATTTGGTCAATTGATCAGCTAATAGTTTCAGCATTGGAAATTTCCTATGCATTACAACATTTCTTCCTTTGTATATCTCTTTACAATGCACGATAATAGTGTTTCCCCTAGAATGTTTTTCAGCAGTGGTGCTGTTGTGTGTGCCAAATGTCCATAAGCATGTGAGCAACTTCACTGATTCCTTTGAGCTTGGAAGGGGAAGGTGAAGCGAGGGAGTTGCAATCTGCAATTACACTGCAAGATGCCACTAAATCCTACACACTGGAACTTTTAAGGACCTTTGAAAAATGAGGAGAGGGAGCTAGCCAACCATAGGGTGATATTGTGTGAAAATCATGTGCAGCCTACTGATACAAAAAATCTGCAGCAGCTGTGCATGTAGGGGAAACTACTAAAAATTGTAATGTGTTGTTGAACTTGCTGTCCAATGTCCGAAATCCATACCTGACAAACTTGCTAATTTGTGTACAGGCTCTCATTGTTCCGCTGAATGATGGTGGTTTTCTTATCCTATTGCACTCCTCCCATTTCCTCACATATGATGGTAAGATAAGAAAACTATGTTGTCAGTCAACAAAATCTTTGTTAAAAACTGTAATTCAGCTTCATATGAGCCATATATCTTTGTGATTTTTCCAGATTCTGGGTCCAGTGCAGCTGAGGTCCTGCAAGGCATGTTTGTGTTTCCAGAATCACGAGTTATATATAGAGGTGATTACATTATTTTCATTTGACACGTTTCTCCCATTACTTAAATAAAATGACATTGGCTCTGCTCAGGGGCACTAATAGTTTGTGCTTGTTTAGCGTTAATGACATTTTATGAATACAAAGCAGAGTATTAAACAAATACTATTTCTCGATTTATCACAGGCACAAAAGGTGGACAGAGAAAGCCTGCCTTGTCATCGGAAATCCTGCGGGTTTTGCCAGTACTAAGTTATGCAGAGGGCGAAGTTGAGAAAACACCCATTGACCCAAGTGAAGAACTGTGTGAGGCATTTGCACAGCATATGCAGAGTTACGCAGCACTGATAAATCCTGGGTTGGCATTAAGTCCCTCTAGGGACATCAGCATCTTTCCAGACCAGTATGATGTACCAGATGCCCACAAGCACCTTTACTCATCTCCAGAGTGGAATAACAGGGCATGGCAGAGCTTTAGGTCATACCTGAGCAAACCAGACTCTTTTCAACTGCCAGTGTCCAAGGCTTCAGAAATCCTGGCAGCTGGACAGCAGGAGCGAATAGAAGACCTTGATGATGATGTCTACTTTTGTCTGTCATCTCCTGAGGAGGTGCCAGCCAATCATGTTAGCATGGGTTCAGAAGACCAGTTGACAGACCAGAAATATGGTGTAAATGTTGAGACATCTGTGGACAGTTCTATAACAAGTGCTGAAGCACAAGTGGACTTAACAGCTGTTTCTCAAAATGCTGTACCAGATGATCTGCAAGCTGGCAATGCCACCAAAGACACTGGAAAGTCTGACCTGCCAGTGCTGATCAAAGCTGATGATATGGGGACAAAAAATTCCCTGACTCCCTCTACATCAGATGACCTCCCTGCAGAGCTAATTGTCAGCATCACTTCAGCAGAGCGAACTCTCACTGCTAAGAGTGTGATCAGTACTGAGTCTGCTGATGAGACTGTTAAAACCAAAGAGGTTTTTGATTGTTCTGAGGTCACCAATCTCACCAAAACAAATGGTAGGAAACTACACAAGGAACATTCCAAAGGTCAGAACCATGTATCTAAAGCTTGCGATGAGACTCCCAGTTTAACAACAAGGCTAATAACAGTTAATATGCAAGTAGAAGATGACAACTTGAAGAGTCAGAAGGAAGACCAGGCCAAGGTATCATCAGGCCACCCACAGTTGAGTAATCCTTCAAATATTGACTGGAGGAAAGTGCGAAGGCGAAAGCGCATATTTGGAAAACTGTCAGCAAAAAATAAAAAAGTGAAATCTGCTATTATTGCAGCAGTAGCAGAGAAGAAAAAATCAGACCCCGGACAGCAGAGCTTTAAAAGCACTATTGTAATGGAACTTGATCCTTGTCCTCTGAGAAAGAAAACTGAGCGCTGGGACTTAAAGCCAGTTATCAGCACATGTGGAAGAATCTTGGTACCTCATGGATATGTAGATATTGGTGATCAGATTAAAACTTTGAAAGATAAGAGTCAATCTACAAAAGATAAACAGTGCCCTGAAAAAATGTTGGTTGATGACCCTGTGAATGCTGAGGACCGAGTCAAAGCGGAGAAAGAGTCTAGCACTGCTCTGGAGACAGCAGTGGACAAAACAGAGGCCACAACATCCAAGGGTGAAGGGAACCATCCTCAAAACGTTGATGTCAGTAACGTTAGTCCTGAACACAGCATTTTGAGACAGTCGGAAGATGGTAGTGGTTCGTTAACTTTGAATTCGGAGAGTAGTGAGCATTATTCAAAGAATGATGGCATAAACACTCCTTTCAAAACAGTTCAAGAAAAACACACTGATACCCCTTCCTCTGGAAAGTGTGCAGCAAAGGGTGAATTTCTGTTGAGTAAACTAAAATCAGTTCTTCTCAGGGGAAAGAGAAAAACAAGTATCATTGTGTCAGAGGAAACAACTGCAGATACTGCCCAAGACACTCAGCCTTGTCTCAAGAAGGGCAAAGTTGACTCAGACTCTGGGACGCTGAAGAGTAATGAAGCAATTAACCCCAGCGTCCAGGAAGTTTCAAAGACTGTTTCAGTTGACCCTCTTTTTGCATTTGCTCTAGGCCTGACTCCTAGGGAGACAGCAGATACGATTCAGAAATCTCAGGGCCAGGATACTCAACAAAGGAAAGACTCATCAGAGACACAAGAACAAACCATTTTAGATAAACAACCTCAAATCATACAAAGGCCTCTATCAATTTTCCCAAGAAGGAGTAGGATTAAAACACTCAAAAAGCATCAAGGCGTATCTGCAGAACATGTTCGAAAGAAATGTAAGTCATATTTAAAAAATCTGAGATTTGGAATGCTTGTTTTTTGTATAAATTTTATATAATCTCTTCACTATTGTGCATGATTGTATTGTGGATGGCATTGAAACCGACTAACCCTTTTCTTGGCTCTGTCACTTCTGCAACTGCCCTCAGCATGCTATCACTGCACTTTGCTAAGTATTTGCAAGTTCTTAGTTTGCTTTTGCTCTTCTCTTGCTTGCGTTTTTGCCAGTCCTATGCATCTGAACAAAACTTGAAATTATTGGAATTATTAATAAACCAATCCTTTTGAAACACATAGTTTCTATGTTGGTGACAAGTTCCTAATAGCAATACATTGGTACATTTCAAATGCTTTCAATGTGCAACTTTCTATTTTCATGCAGTTTCTCTTTTTTCTCCTCTGTTTTGTCTTCACAGGGTGGTTGCATTTTCAAACCCCAGCTTGTTTTGCCAGTGAAAAACTCAAATACAAAGAGTGTACTAGGGATAATTCTGTCAGGAAGACTGTTAAGGAAAAAAGTAGCAGTGCTTGCTCATCTACAGATGCTTTGAACTTACTTGCTGACTTGGCACTCAGTGCCAGTAATGACCAGGTTCCACCACAACCAGAGCCAGCACTTGAGAGAGAACCTGAGACAAGTTTGAAGAAGTGTGACCTTACGCTTACCAGTGCTGAAAAAGAGTCAGTTCTTCATGCTCTGCTTAGACAGCCTGCTGCTAGACCCATTCAGCCTCATGAGTCTCCTTCACCAAGCCATCTTGTGGGAGGCAGTGAATTGGTTGGTTTGGTATCTAAAGAACATGCTTACTCATTGCCCCCGTCTTCCTCTCTACTGTTGGGTTTGTCAGGTACACCCTTCCAGGTATCCCCTTTAAGTGGTTCTACCAGGCTGCTGCACCATCACCAGACAATGTATGGAGATGGAATTAAAACACTACATCCCTGTGTCGATCAGGAAGACGGAAGTGAACACAACAGGCTCAAAAAACACATGGTGCGCCTAAGAAAATTCAGGCACTCACGTACCTTTGTTAACAAGGATGGATCTATCCAAGTCACAAGGCAATGGAAAGAAAACTATGACTTCAATCTAGACAGCAAGTTTACTTGTGACTCAAAGGATAAAGCTATCATCCGAGCCTTACATGGGTATGTACATTGTGTTACGTATTTATACAAGGAACCTCAACATAAAAGTAAAAATGTATCTTTTCACATAATGTCAGTGCTGTACTTGTTTGTATCTAGTGGTGGGCAATATGCAGTAAGTTGACTTTTAGTTCAGATAATATGAACATTAAATATTTAACTGAAAGAGCTCACGTTTTACTTTACCCCTTCTATAGCCCATGGGATTACACCGTTCAAGATACCAATGAAGAGGTGCGGCTCATTGTCCACATGTGGATAGGTCTTTTCTACAGCCGGTCAACAGCCAGGTTCTTTCATGTTGACTCAAACTCTTCAGAAGAAAGTGATTCTTTGGAAAAGTCACATGGAATGATGTCAGCCCCAGCTCAGACTGAGTTCAAAGCTGATCCATTTGCTCCTTTCCAGAATGTGACAGATACTACAGACACTTTGATTTCAAAAGCTCTGGACCTCAGCAAAAAAAAATACTCTGTCTTGGACCAAGGATCTGTGATTTTGGACTTGTCACTGAGAAACTCCAATGCAGAGATCGTCACTTCAGATCCACAAGTCAACAAAAAAAAGACTTTTGTGTCTGAACAGAAAGAAGCTGGTGACACATTGAACTCACTCAAGTCATCCATGGACCCACAGAACGCAAGCACATTTCAGGTTTGGGTCTAATGTTATTGTTACGCTGTTTTTGTCATGATTTTCTGATAGTCTTTGGAATATAGGATAATTTAGGGACAAGGTTTGTGAACTTGTGATGAAATAATAGGCATAAAATCATTGGCAAAATTAAGGTACTACTTATTAAGAAGTATTGAAGAAAATAGGGTTAGTTGGAAGTGACATTTCTGACAATCTACCAGTTTTCACCACCATCTAATACCAGGAATCTGAAATGCTATTTGGCACATAGGCACAAAAAAAACATGGGGAACCTTAAGTTTGCAACATGCAGTCACATTTATGTTACCCTTCTATTGTCCAGGGGAAACACCAAACACGTTAGTATACAACTAGTACTTGGGAGTATCCTCACACCCACAAGGCGAGTACCCTGGATGACTACAGAAAAGGAGTCCAGCTTCTAGCCAGGGGCACAGATGTGATCCCAACTACATATAATTTGTACTGACGTGTAATGCACTTCAACCAGATGGACTGCACATACTGCTGCTGATGTACTGTATGATGGCTGCAGGGACTGAGAGGAAATGCCTTCATACATCCTATTTATTGTATTAGGGCAAATAGTTGCATGTCAGGCAGCAACTATTTGGACTTATACTCCTGTTAATGTTGACACACATTTCTAGTTAGTATTGAACTTAATATAAAACATCTGTAGTTACCTTTAATTGTGATTTATAGCATTCATTGAATTGTTGGTGCATCAATAGCAAAAGTAACCTTGAAGAATCATGGCAAAAGATAAATTGCCAGAGAAAAACAAAAGTCACAGGTTTTAATTTAATTTATTATGTATTTCTTATATTGTGTTTTATCTTTCTTTTTTCAGTGCTACAGAAAGAGTGAACATGCCACTGAGAGTATCAATGAGATGAATAATGTCAGAAGCACCACTGCAAATAAGAGGACTTGTACCCTTTTGCAAAAAGTTGGCCGCCTGGAGCACACTTATGTACCACCATTTAAAGGTGGTGGGGTATTTATTTCTGTTCAGGAAGATATGGAAAATGTATCAGGTCAGCCAGGAAACCATCAGACTGCTTCAGGAATTGGCCATGTGTTAGATGGATGCAACAATGAGAAAACTGATATGAAAGATGGCATTGAAAATTCACAAGCTAAAGAGATGATTTTAGTGCAAAAACAGGGATGGGATTCTTTAAAACCTGTGACGGACAAAGACTCCAACAAAAAAGCAGGTGATGTGGTTCATGTAACTGAGCCTGATGAAATTGTATCTAAAGATGGGGAAAACAGGGAAGTGAAAGAGAAGCCATACCGAGAAGGCACTATGAAACTTTCTCAAAAAATTATTCATATAGGTGATGAGTCAACGAACAAAGAACCAGTTTTGGTCTGCAATGGAAATATTTTGGAGAATGAGATGCAGTCATCTAGGGAGGAACCTAAATCAGTCTCACCAGACATGACTGAAAATGTTAATGAAGATGTGGATTGCTTTACAGTACATAAAGGTAAAGTGATAGAAGATGATCACTTTGGAAGAGAAGATGGACTTGATAGGAAAGATTGTTGCATTTCAGATGTAGAAGCTCACAGTGATTTGAATAATCAACCATTACCTATGAGTGATGGCCCAGACTCTGTTAAAGAGGATTGCATCACAGAGTGTAGTCGCAAAGCACCATTGGATGAGCATCCTTCTAAAGTAGACAACAAAGAAGATGCCCCCCATGATTTGCAGTTGAGAACACAGTGTGCAAACGGCAGTACATTGACAGAAGAAAATGTCATTTCAGAAAAAGCTCCACCAGGAATGGAGCCTATTCATAATGAACCTGCAGTTGAGGAAAATCCAGAAAATGGTATTTGTTTGGCAGATTTGAATATTCAGCCATTACCTATGAGTGATTGCCAAGACTCAGCAAAGGAGGATTGCGTCACAGAGTGTAATCTCAAAGCACCATTGGATAAGCAACCTGCTCAAGCAGACAACAAAGAAGATACCCCCCATGATTTACAGTTGAGAACACAGTGTGCAAATGGAAGTGAATTGACAGAAGAAAATGCCATTTCTGAAAACGCTCCATCAGGAATGAAGCCTGTTCATAATGAACCTACAGTTGAGGAAAATCCAGAAAATGGTATTTGTTTGGCAGATTTGAACGATCACCAATTACCAATGATGAGTGATGGCCCAGACACAGTAAAGGATTGCATCACAGAGTGTAATCGCAAAGCACCATTGGATAAACAACTACCTAAAGAAGACAACAAAGAAGATGCCCGCTATGATTTGCAGTTGAGAATACAGTGTGCCGATGGCAGTGTATTGACAGAAGAAAATGCAATTTCAGAAAAAGCTCCAACAGGAATGGAGCCTATTCATAATAAGCCTGCAAGTGAGGAAAATCCAGAAAATGGTATTTGTTTGGCAGATTTAAACAATCAACCATTACCTATGATGTGTGATGGCCCAGACTCTGTAAAGGATTGCGTCACAGAGTGTAATCTCAAAGCACCATTGGATAAGCAACCTTCTCAAGCAGACAACAAAGAAGATTCCCCCCATGATTTGCAGTTGAGAACACAGTGTGCAAATGGCAGTGAATTGACAGAAGAAAATACCATTTCAGAAAACGCTCCATCAGCAATAGAGCCTGTTCATAATAAGCCTGCAGTTGAGGAAAATCAAGAAAATGGAATTAGTTTGGCAGATTTGAATGATCAACCATTACCTATGATTTGTGATGGCCCAGATTCCGTAAAGAAGGACTACATTACAGAGTGTAATCGCCAAGCACCATTGAATGAGCAACCACCTAAAACAGACAACAAAGAAGATGCCTACTATGATTTGCAGTTGAGAACACAGTGTGCAAATGGCAGTGCATTGACAGAAGAAAATGCCATTTCAGAAAACACTCCATCAGAAATGGAGCCTGTTCATAATAAGCCTGCAGTTGAGGAAAATCCAGAAAATGGTATTTGTTTGGCAGACTTGAATGATCAACCAATACCTATGATGTGTGATAGCCCAGACTCAGTAAAGAAGGATTGCATCACAGAGTGTAATCACCAAGAACCATTGGATGAGCAACCACCTCAAGCAGACAATGAAGAACACGCCTGCCATGATGTAGAGTTGAGAAAGCTGTGTGGAAATGGCAGTGCATTGACAGATGAACATACTATTTCCGAAAAAACGCCTCACACTCAATCAGAAATTTATAATGAAACTGTAGCTGATGAAAATTCAGAAAACGGTATTTTTTTGGCAGATAAGGCACATTATCAGAAGGCAGCATTACCCACGTCTGATGAGAGAACCTGTTCATTAGATGGGTCTTCTGCTGATGGGTCTATTCCTCAGATAAATGACAGTGCTGAAACAGGAAGCCCAAACAAAGTAATGGCAAACTTTAGCCTATGTAGTGCTGATCATGAAGATCGTGATGCTAAATCAGTTGAGGAAGAGTCTCATTTACCTGAGTGTAAGGGTGTAACAAAATATGAAGCTGAAGTGGCTTTGCCTAAAGAAATGGCTCTCAAAAGTGATACAATAAACAAAGGATTGGAAAAGATCCATAGTCGGGTTGTAATTCCATTTATTGGAATAGACACTTGTGGAGAAGATGCAGTACAACCACATGACTCACACTCAGAATGCATGGTTGAAGAATTTCAAGGCCAAAAAGGAATACCATTTATCAGTGACACTACTTACCCTGAAACTGTGCTACCCACAGAGATATGCAGTACATCTCAACTGTACAGTAAAAATTCAGAACTGTTTGATGGCAAAATATCACTAAAACTTCTTGATGTAAGTGAAACCAACCAGCCAGAGGTCTCGGGAAGTGAGTCTGATGACCGGTGCCCTACCCCAACTATGGATGAGAAGCCATATCAGTATGTAGCTTGTTCTGGCCATAGTAGTAGTTCTGTCTTTAGTGGTAGTAAAACTGGCAAAAACATGACTCAGAAATGTCTTGGCAGAAGCTCAGCATTTTTGAAGGATAAGATGCCTCTCGAGCAAAAGTACAAGTCTACAGTTAACAGTGATCCCAACCTTCATTATGGTCTTCACCCTGATCTTGAACTAAGAACTCTAAGAGTTCTACAAAGTATAGACAAGTTCCTGTTCAAATCAAGCCACACTGACAATGCCAGCCAGATTAAAACTGGTGATGTGAGACACTCTCTTGATCAAATCCCTAACACCAGCAGCAAGTATATCCCCACTTGCCTAACCCCGAGCCACATCTTTGCTGACTTTAAGGGCAAGAAAATAAGCAATACAAAGTCAGTGGTCGTGTCAGCCTGTACCTCACAAGAACTGCAAACAGAATCATCTAGACTCAAACGTAAACTGGATGAAGAAACCTCTGTAGGGCAAGACATTTGTCATCCACAAAGATCTTTTTCCTCTATTGACTGTTTGCAAGCCATCAAACCAAATGTTGACCAAGAAAGGCATAAAACAACTTTACAGACCAACTTAAGTCATGAACCACGTTCATACAGTCAGCGTCCTGTCATGGCTGTGAAACCATCTAAGAGCGATGAAGTTCAAGGAGATTGCATCTCGAAAGACAGAGAAAGTGAAAACTCTGTCATGTCAATTTTTTCTAAAGATAAACCGACTAAAAGCCCCGTAGTCCCCTACACCACACCAGCTCCCGTGCTCTTGAAGAAAAAGACAGAAAGTCTTGAGGGAAATTCTGAAGGACTTGATGACAGCCAGCAAGAGGCCAGTGAGCTGTCTAACTCAGACCTATCTAAATTTGGTGTTCAAGATCCTTCATACAAAGGAAGGGACATTCCCTCATCATTTCTCCCCATGCAGTCTTTTGAATATGCAAAAACGTCCTCTAAACTTGTTGTTCAAAACCAAATTTTCTTGACAAAGAGTTTTGATGGGAAAGTTGGGCAAATGGCTAAAGAGAGCATTGAGATGGATCAGAATAACTGCCCAGGCACATCAACTTCAGTTGTGGATTACAAAGATGATAGCACAATAGACGACAGTCTCTTCCTGGGACCTGAAAGCTCACTCACATGTACAGTCTATAACACTGGCCAGGGTAGATGTTATTCTTTTCTGGAGCAGCTTTCTCAGAGGTGCCTACAAGATGACCTCACTCAGGCATCAATGGAACAGGAGTGCCTTATCTTCTCACAACAAATGGAGCAGCTTTTGAAAAGGAGTAAGAGGGGACCCGTCCACCAACTGGATGAACATGACAAATTGAATTTGTCTTGCTCTAGTCCTGTGACTGTGCACTTTTCCAGTCTAGAAGAGCAGGAAGATTCAGTTGATCACTTGGATGCACCGTCACTTGTAGGACAGAAAATTAAGGTAGACATGTCTGACAGGAAAGATCTGGCAGATACCGCAGATGAAGGAAATGCTTTGCATCCTCAAAACTTATCCGAAGGAACAGGCAACCAAATGGAAAATGCTGGAGTTTCTGGTCTGACTGCAGAATATGCCAGACAGTACACAGCAATGATGAATGATGTTTGTGCTGTGAAAAAGGTCCCATCTAGACCTAAGCACTTTAGAATGGATCGAAGGTACTCAAAGACTGAACAAAGCAACCATTTTGACTTCTGTGGTCAAATGAAGAGAGAGATGGATGAAAGTTTTCGCAATAGTCTGAATTCTGTCGTGAAGAAATCCTGTAAAACAAAGTACAGATTCTACATATTGGTGACGTCAGATGATGCCTTCTTTGAGGAAACCAAGGTAAGATACGTTTTTTAAGAAACTTCCAATAAAATATTTTTATTAGCTATGTACTATTCACAGTTCCTAAAATGGGCCAGTACTCACCAGTACTGAGTACCAGCACTTCTGATTTTTGTTCATGAGTACCCTTACTTCTTATTGTGTATTGCCACCTCCTGGTGGGTCTAGGTACGCACTCTTAATTGCACAGGCGGGGTTTAGCAGAATACGTGTGGGTTTTTCAAATTGTGAATGTACCAGATTATCCAACTTGGAATCCTTCAAAAAATTTACTTTCTGCTGAGTGTCAATGGTAGCTTGGATGTTTAAGTGTATCGTATGAATCCAAATCTTGGACATCCATAGGTGGCACTGCTGTCTATCATTTGAGTATCAGATCTTAAATTTTGAATTTCAGTCAGGTGATCAATTATCAAGCATTCAGAAGGCAGATGAGACCAAAATCAATTAGAATTATATCCTAAAAATCTACAAATGATGAGCCTGACCATTAAAAACTAAACTCTTATTAATGACAGCCAGTGCTCTTCAGTGAAACATATTAGTGTACAAAAGTGTTCATGGAAGCTTTGTGACCTTTGAGGGTTAGGGTTGTGTTGAATTAGGGTACTGACACCTTTTTGGTCCAGTTCAGGCACTGATTATTTATACCACTGGTTCTCAAACTATGGTTGTACTCAAGCTCCCACTAGTGGTACACAGAGGAAAAAGTATATTTTTGAAAAAATGTAATTCAGTAATCTAGAAACACAATACTAATACTACCAAAATACTAAACAAATTTGAATTAAAATACTATGAAATCACTTAAATATAATTGAAAATATTTTTTGCATTTCCTGTGATTTTTTTGTTTTGATATCAGCCCACTACGTAGTCACGTTCATTAATGTAGCGGGTGCATACATCCATGATTAGTTACGAGCTAAACTGTGATCCACCATGTAGAACAATGAATTTCACTGCTGTCTATCTGTATGATCAGTATGTTCCCACTGTAATATTTTCATCAGCCAGCTGTAATAAATCAAACAACATGTAAATGTACCTGCAAATATTACTAATATCTGTTTTGATGCTGGTTTGATCCTTACTATTCAATAATATGTAAGCTGTAGCGCAAGTTTGCTTACTTTGCCTCTTATTCCCCTGCCGGGGCTCAGCCTGCCAGGCATCTGCTGTTAATCACATATAGATATCAACGTGTCAAGTTGAACTTTTGGCAGTAAATTAAAAAAAAAACACTGACATTATTTTGGACTGCAAAACAGGATAACAAAATGCTCTAATGCATGCACCTGCTTTCTTCTTTTGTGCATAAACACAAAAGCAGTAGCCATAGTTAGGTTAACATATCACTTGAAGATCATATTAAAGTCCTGCTGAATTCAGGGGTATCATATATGATAGCAAGTCAAGACAAGGGACTTATTTTTTAATGTCAAAGCAGTGTGAGACCTGCTAAATGGAAATGGCTTTTAAAGTTTGGGTAATTTCTCCTTGATTTCTCTAAAGGCACAGTTAGAGGCAGAGGGCCATACTGCTGTACAACCATCTGACTTCTTCCTTGGTGATGATAGCTCTTCATCTCTACTTATAATCCTCAAGAATGAAGACATTGCAGAGCACATTTGTGAGGTAATTGATCAGCCTTTGAAAAAACGACAGGACTTTTGCAATAGATAATCACAAATTAATGACTGTTCTCTGATCTCAGGTCCCCCATTTGCTCGAGCTGAAGAAGTCACCAAGTGTGCAGTTTGCTGGAATTGATGAACCAGATGATGTTGTGAATCTCACCCACCAGGAGCTCTTTATGAGGGGTGGTTTTATAATGTTCGACAGAGCAGCGCTGGAGTCCCTCAGCCTATGTATGTGCACTTTTAACTAAATACCCACTTTTTGTTACTTGATTGTTTTGCAGCTTATAATTGTTTAACTCACAATGCCAACTTTGAATGAATTTTCAAGGCAACATGAAAAAAATGGCAGAAATCTTGCAAGACCTAAGCCGAACAGGGAAGTGGAAGTGGATGTTGCACTACAGAGACAGCCGTCGGCTGAAAGAAAATGCAAGGTAAGGGTCAACTTTGGGGGAAAAAAAACATTCTCACTTCCCTCTAAGGCAGATAACAGGTGTTCTAAACAATACAGAACAGGTAACAAAACAAACATAGCAAAACAAATTTGGGCATACAGAGGGAACTAATACAAGTGAAATAAGACAAATCAGTGAATGTAGAGAAAAAGGGTATAATGTTACTATGTTACGCCCACAACTTACTGCTCCTTTAAATGAAGAGAAGTAGATGCTTAATTTGACACTTCTATTGGTGATTATCATTCATGAGTCCACTGCATCTCTAACTGACCTCCTGGCATCATCCACCATGTTTTTTTAAAATATATTGTATATTTGCCATAATTTAAATAAGACTGTTGCTGAGTGTGCACTTTATAAAAGCCTCTCTGTTAAGATTTTGCCTATCTGAACATTATGTTTCTCCACCCATATCCAGGTTGAGTGCAGAGGCAAAAGAGAAGAAGCACTTCATAAACTGGTGTCAAGAAGTTGGAATATTGGAGGCCTTACCTTACCATGAGTGTGACCTCATGTCAAGAGATCAGCCGGACTATCTCACATGTTTGGTCCGTTTGCAGGTCCAGAATATATCTGCCCGCTACCCTATTTTTATAACCGGTGAGACACTAAAGCACAAATACATTAATTTTACTTTTGCACATGCGGTTGTGCTATTGTGGGTTAATCTGTAAAGGTTGTACTTATTGTACAGTGAAAAATTAATGTTTTTCTTATTCTTACAGATACTACAACAGACATTGCCTTTGGAACGAATGGAATTTTAACTATGAATTTCAACTCTTTCCTGACGTGTTCTCCAAGCGAAACATTTACAGCCTGACCTGAAAACGTCAGATGGACAAAGTTGTGCTGATTCAAGTACACAGCAAACAGAAACTGGATGTGAGGAGAAACCTGTAATTCACCAGGAATGGTGATTTCAAAAATACTACATTTGATTATTTTCTTTGGGACATCACTTTAGCTTCTTCTCAAGCAATAATTATTGATTTATGTTGTAAATTTGTAAACTAAGTTATCATTCAGTTAATAGTGTATTTAGGCAAGTCTATTGTATATACTGTATGCATTTTGCATCGTATTATAGTTTTATTGTAAATTGTATTGTAAACTTGTTCAAATGTGTATCATATGTGTATATTTGGCCTTTTTCATTACAATCCTGACTTTATATATTTGCAGTACAATCGTTATTAGTGTTTTATTGATTCTTTGTTTGTGGTCACAAAAGACAGTTCAAAGATTTTCTTTTTTTCTTTAGTACATATTGATTTTAGTAGTTTGCCCAAGCCTTGCAACAAAGCTAAATTAGGTTGTTTTCAAGCCGTGTGTATTTTACTTATTGATATATACTAATGTACACTGTTACTGACAGTGATTCTTAACTCTTGAGTGTTAAGTTGTAAGAGCACAACAATTTAACATTATCACTAAGTGCTAAATATGTATATTTTTCATGACTGTATGACAAAATGACTGAGAATAAAGCAGTTTATTTTATTGTTTTGCTTTAAAAAAAACCCATCCATACTGGTTGAAAAAGCTGCACTGTTACTGTTTCTACTCACTACATTATGTTATTTCACACATCCTTCGAGGCCTGGGACATCGTTTAAGATAAAAGAATGACCTGGTCTGCTCTTTAAATCAAACTGTTTCAAATAGCATTCTTTATTAAACTGAAGAAAAAAGACTTGTAGATTTTATTTCTGGCAAGGAAAATCAAGGTCAACTTTAAATCCATCATCTTAAACTACTCTATACATAATGGTATTTCCTGTTATGGATTTGCAACAGCACTGTATTCCAGAAATTAAAACTAAGAGTGAATGAATGAAAACAATGTGAAATCTGCACAACAGTAGTTTTCTGTAAATCCAGTTAAATGTTAATGTTAAAGCTGTGTGTGTGTGTGTGTGTGTGTGTGTGTAAAATGATGCATGAAATGTAAAAGTTAAGAACTTCCCTTAACCAGGAGAGGGCCTCACTGAGAACAACAACCTAAGGGATGAGCTGGATAAAACAGGTTACAAAACATTAAAAGGTCAGACTCACAATGAATTATCTTTTGAAGAGCAGATGTGATCAGAAAGATAATATAACATGTATACAATAACAGTAAATATACTGTGACCTAACATATATATGAAAACATATACAGGTTATGAAAGGATTTTAACCCTAACAAAACATTTATTACAGAAAATATAAAATAATAATGAATACAAATCTTCCAGTAATGTTTTACACACTTTACATGATGTTTGTTGACTTTGTTACATAATTTTGTGCAGCTCTACTGACTTCTATAATGAACCTTATAGTTGAGACCTGGAGACTTTGCTGAAGGTTTATTGATATTATTTTACACTGCTTGGTAATCTGCGACCATGATGAGACACTAAATTAGATCAACTGACATTTTTAGCAACCCGGCAAATGAATTGCCTTTCCAAATGCAATAATGTGTCCACATTCCTGCCTGCTTGATATCGAAAACAACACCACAGGAAATGAAACTGAACCCACTGTGTTGCCGTTCTTGATAAAAAAAAGAATTTAAATTTGTTTAATTAAGATCAGCTTCTCTTAACGCACTGCGCAACATTAATCCTCAAATAAAGGCTGTTTCACTTGAATTAAAACAGTTTTGCGGTGGCGAGAGAAATAGTGACAGCTGCACCGCGACACACCGGTAGTGAACTTTGCACCGGTGAGCTCTGTATGTTAAATCCTCCTGAGTGAGTCGCTGTTAACGCCATTAAAGTACCTGATAAATACAGTGAACACATTACACATCCGACATGTTCGTCCTGCTGTCTGTGCACTTTATAGCGACATTAATTAAATGATTAAACCACTTTAACAAACGCAGCTGCTGCGCGTCGTCGGGCGGTGATGACCCGCTCGAACACAACGGCGCTGTGTAGTCAGACGGCGGCTTGTGCGCATGTGCGAGCGAGATTTCGGGGATGGGTCTATCGATGGAATCAAGATGGCGACTCCGGTCGAAAGCGCCAATATATTTACTGAAGTAGATGTCCGAAATTAACCGCGGTAGCGGCTCTTCTCAAGCCCCTCGGGGGTTCCGTGAATCATGAAGACCGGGAGCATGTTTTGGAAGAGGAAGTGACCGGGATTAATACCGTAACAAAGTCAGCGAGATGTGCGAGAGCTATGCCCGCTCGCTGCTGCGTGTTTCGGTGGCGCAGATCTGCCAGGCTCTGGGCTGGGATGCGGTTCAGCTCACTGCGTGCGATCTGCTGTCCGATGTGCTGCATCGGTACATCCAGCAGTTAGCCAGGGCCTGCCATCGGTACTCTGAGCTCTGTAAGTGCTTTGTTTAGGACCCCGATTACTTTTTTAAGCCGTTAACCTGAAGTAGTCGATCACGTTGTTGTTGACGGGCTCTGTGGCTGGCGCCCCCTAGCAAAGGTTGATGTGTCAAAAAAGTAGAGTCCAGAGCGAAGCTGCTTCCTTGTGTTATCGTTATTGTGGCTATGATGCTTTCCAGCTGTGATCATCACATCGTGAGCAGTGATGTCACATGCTTGAGCACCTAAGTGTTGCAGTATCTGTGGAGAGATTCAGTCTCTCTGGTACCTGTTGAGTACTACTTCTTGCTCCAGGTTGAGTGTCAACATCAGTCAGAGAACCTCCTTGCATGTGCAGCACAATCACTAGCATGTCCTCAAAACTTCAGTCCCAACCCTAGCAGTGTAGTTGAGTGAATGAGAGGCGTGCAGAGTGTGTGTCGGGGTTTAATGTCTTGTTTTGATGCTCGTTTTAGATGGAAGAACGGATCCAGTGCTGGATGATGTCAGCCAGGCCTTCAGGCTGCTGGGGGTCAGTCTGAGCGAACTGGAGGACTACGTCCACAACCTGGAGCCTGTGCCCTTCGTCAGTCAGACGCCGCTCTTTCCTGTTAGCAAAAACAATGTCCTGCAGTTTCCCCAGCCTGGAGCAAGAGATGCAGAGGAAAGGAAGGATTACATTCCAGATTACCTGCCGCCCCTGGTCTCCTTACAAGAAGGTCAGTACATGTGATGGCTATGTGCACATTTTAGTGTGTCAGCGTGTGTGTTTCCCACAGGTAGAGAGTTTATTTTTTGGTGCACAACATGTTCTCAACTAATCCAAAGTTGATGGAGTATACATAATGCAGTCCAAAGCAACCCTGCAATTGATCCTATATTCATAAGGGTTTATTTTGTTGTTGTTTTCTTATATTTATATCAACGAGGGTGGACTAAATATCAGAAACACCTCTCAGCATAACAAATACAATTTAATAGCAACACAAAAAGTTGAATCAACATAGCCGGAACATTATAACCTTCATGAAAGTAAGATCGTATTAGACTGTGGTTTTAGCTTTAGCTAACTGAGAGTATAAAACTTTATCTTATGAATGTGCCACCATACTAACCTGTGTGTGTGTGTGTGTGTGTTTGTGTGTTAAAAGATGTGTTGTGGTTGTGAAAATCTTTGGGGATTCATTGAAAACAGAGCTTAACTAAATTTGTGTACCTTTGCTTTCTAGAAGAGGAAGAGGAGGAGGTCCTTGCTGACATGGGCACCTCAGCCGAAGCAATGCAGGTGGCGCTGGAAGAGGATGAGGAAGAAATGGACGAAGATGAGACGGTCAACGATGAGAACCACCCACTGAAGAGGCACCTGGACAGCCCCGATGCAGCTATGGGCATGATGCCCACCTCCAAGAGACCACGCATGTACCCTGGCCTCAGCCCAGAATGGGGGGTTGAGCCCAGGGAGCCCCTCACCTCTCTCAACCCTCAACGTGTCCCCCCAGGCATGCTGCCTTCTCATGATAGCCTTGACCCCCTGTCACCTGAAACACCCTCTGGAGCCCTGCCTTCCTTCAGACCTCTGCCGGTAGTACCAAAACACTCTGATCAAAAGGGCCTCACCACTCCAGGAAGAAAGCCCAAGGTCTCATCCCCTGGCAGACAACGGACTAAGTCCCCTAAAGGGGTCATTCCTGTTCCGGTGGGTGGTAGTCCCATCCATTCTCCAAAACCGTCTAAGGAAAGGAAGAAATCCCCAGGAAGGACCAAGAGTCCTAAAAGCCCTAAGAGCCCAAAGATGGGTTCTGCCAAAGCATCCCAACCCCAGAGCAAGACAGAAGCTTTGCATAAGCTGCCGCTGTCTGCGCTGAGTGAGAGGATGGGCAAAGAGAACATCCATATGCGTCTAAATATAGAGGACAGGGAGTTAGCCGAGGGCCCCTTCAAGAAACTAGAGCCTGATAATACAGCCATTGATGACTCCATTGATGCTGTGATTGCCAGAGCGTGTGCCGAGCGGGAGCCTGATCCTTTTGCTTTCTCCTCGGGCTCCGATTCGGACAGCAATGGGTTCTCCAGCCCCAGGAGGCTGACCATCATGGAGCCGTCTACACCGAAACTCCTGATTGGTGCCAGCAATTCCATAAAAGACACGTCTACACCACTTCACCTACAGGCACACCCAGGCTTAGGAAATTGGACTATGGATGACTCAATCAATGAGGTGATCCGAAAGGTCAACCAAGGGGGTCCATCCGCACCCCCGCCAAACCAAGGAGAATACGTGTCCTCGGGATCAGCCTCGCCACCTACTCCTGAACCTCTGCTCAAGGTGTTTGAGGAGAAGAACAAGATTGTGGCATCAGTGGACGTAAAGAAAAAGCTGAAGAAGGAGCTCAAAACCAAAATGAAGAAGAAGGAGAAAGACAAGCCGAAAGACAAAGACCGGGAAAAGGACAAGGGCAAGGTGAAAGAGAAGAACAAGGATAAGAACAGGGATAAAAACAAGGAGTTTTCCAAGGATGGCAAGATGGCCTGGAAGGACTTTGGACTGAAGGATGACGAGCTCTTCGTTCAGCGAGACTTTACTCTGCCTGAGGGCTCCATCAAGATAAAAACCAGAGATGGAGATGGGCCTAAGAAAGAGAAGGAGAAACACAAAGACAAGAAGAAGGATAAAGAAAAAAGTAAAAAGGACAAAGATAAGAGGGACAAGGGTAAAGACCGGAGCAAGGAAGACAGGCAGAAACAGTCTGCCTTAGCCCCCTTCGCTCTGAATGAAGTCCCACCACTGTTCAGCCCCTCTGCCTGCCTGCGCATACCCTCCATGCTTCCTCCTTTGGCCCCGATCCTCCAGGATAAGGACATAAAGAGCAAGGAGAAGGACAAGAAGAAGGACAAGAAGGAGAAGAAGAAAAAGAAAGATAAGGAGAAGGATAAGGAGCGAGAGAAGGCCAAAGAAAAGGAGAGGGAGAAAGAAGAGAAGAGGAAAGAAAAAGAGCGGGAAAAGGAAAAACGAGAAAAGGAGAAAGAAAAAGAGAGAATTCGACTGGAGAAGGTATCATTTTTTGGTTCGGTGTGTCACTATGTGTCTGTGTTTGAGGCGTCACTCAAATTGACCTGGTTACCTTCCTGTGTCCGCAGGTGAAAGTAGACACTCCAGCAGCTTTACCGTCTCCAGTCATCCCCAGA